TGTGTCCTGTGTCACAGCTCACAGCAACTTCAAACTCTTGGCTCAAGCTATTCTCTTGCCTCAGCCTCTTGAGTAGCTGGTGGTATAGGCACCAGCCACAACACCTGGCTAGTTTTAGAGACGGGGTCTCGCTCTGGCTCAGGCTGTTCTCCAAACACCTGCCTCCACCTCCCAGAGTGCTAGGATTACAGGTTTTAGACATGGACCCTGGTCTCAAAACCCCTTATTCTTGATGTTTGGTCTTAGTAATTTTCCATTCACTTGCCCACAATAAGTGTTGTTCTTTTTTTTTTTTTGAGACAGAGCCTCAATCTGTCCCCCTGGGTAGAGTGCTGTGATATCACAGCTCACAGGGGCCTCCAACTTCTGGGCTCAAGCAAATCTTCTGCCTCTGCCTCCCAAGTAGTTGGGATTACACAGCGCCACAACGCCCAGCTATTTTTTGGTTACAGCCGTCATTGTTTTTCTTGCAGTTTTTGGCAGGGGCTGGGTTTGAACTTGCCACCTCAGGCATATGGGGTCTGCGCCCTACTCCTTTGAGCCTCAGGCGCTGCCTTACAGCCATCATTCTTGTTTGGCGGGCCCGAGCTGGATTTGAACCTGCCTGCTTAGGTGTCTGTGGCTGGTGCCTTAGCCACTTGAGCCACAGGTGCTGAGCCAATAAGTATTTTTCTTGTTGAGGGGTTTTACATATAAAAATGAAGTATGAAGTATGTCCATGGCCAACTGACATTATTTGGCAGTCCTCCTTGTTTTACTAGTGCCTGGCACAGAGGTATGGGATCCAGGCTGAAGGCCCTTAGTGGGTTTGTGTGGCAACTTGTGGATCTTTCAGGCATAGCATGCTATCACTTCGGTTTACTGTGAGTAGTCCTGGAGGTGCTGAGGCAGTGAGCAGGATAGAGGCTTGGCCCTAGCTTTCTAGGAGTTTGCTTTCTGAAATGTGGCCTGACTTGAGGGGAAGAAAGCCCACCTTCATGTGTCCTCCTCTCCAGCAATGCTCCCATGGAGCCATTCTCACCCTGAACTTCTCCCTTCTGCTTGATCCTCTCCCACCCAGAGGTCCTGCTAGGCGGGATCCACAGAGGTGTACTCACTTTGAGTAAATTGGGGAATTCAGCCTGAATCAATAGCTTCAGCTCTTCCTTGGACAGCTGGTCTGGATCACCTTCTTTGGCTGCATATTTTTCAAAAATTTTCCTTAGTTCTTCAGGGGACCTCTTAGTACTCATTTTGGCGACCTGTATGTAAATTGACCAAAAAGCTGAAGTGAACTTTAATGCTGAGATCTGTCAGCAGGATTTTAGGGTTGTTGGGCCATTTTTCCCAGCTTAGAGTGGGAGAGTAAAGAAAAGAGAGAGGAAGAGAAGACAGGCTCAGGGTGGGAATAGCATCAGTCAAATAAATCATCTTAGTACGTGGAATCATCTGTTCTTGAATTATCTGTTAAGAGATAGTTCCTGCAGGCAAGTATTTTTATCAGTAATGACCTGACCTTCTTCACTTTCTTTGTACCTGGTCTGCATTCTGTACCCTGTGCTTTCATTGTTTTTGTTGTTGGGTATTTTTGTTCTTTTTTTTTTTTTTTTTTTTTGGACATACAGTCTCATTTTTTTGCCCCAGCTGGAGTGCAGCGGCATCATCATATCTCACTGTCTCCTCAAACTCCTCAAGTGATCCTCCTGCCTCAGGCTTCTGAGTAGCTGCGACTATAGACACCCATGACAATGCGCAGCTAGTTTTTCTATTTTTAGTAGAGATGGGGTTTTGCTCTTGCTCGGGCTGGTCTCAAACTCCTGAGCTCAAGGGATCCTCCTTCCTTGGCCTCCCAGAGTGCTAAGATTACAGGCATGAGCCACCAGGCTCAGCCTTGGGCAGTGGTTGTGAAGACTGCCTGGCCACACATTCTAGTTTCTAAGTTACGGCTAATACCTTTTTTGATGATATAATCCCTCTTTCTTTCCAGACCATTCCCCCCCACACCATTCTACAAGGAAACAGTGTTAGGTGAATTTAAGCAGAAGGAGCTCTAGGTAGTACCAAAATCACACTGACCTGGTGGCCCAGCAGTGAAGCAGCTAGAAGGGTCAAATGCGAGCGTATAGGGCTGAGCAGGATCATGAGACTTTTATAGTCTTTACAGACACGCCACCCTGGTTATGACATTTTCCTCCTTTGCCATTTAAGGGTAATTATTAATGGTTTTTGAAATCCAAGCTTAAGTCTGCATGAACCTCATAATTAAGGGCAAGATCCAGTAAAGGGCTACCTTAACAGTTTCTTAATGGTTCAGAGTCCCAAGAGTAAGTTTGGATTCTTTTCCCCCTTAGATTATAATTTCCTTATATGTGGAATTATGATATTGGCTCACAGTTTGCATTTCATAAAGCTTAGATATGGAGAATTGTTTTGAGTTTACTTGTATATTTAGGCTTGACAAAAGTACATCTTTTCATATCCAGGAAAAAATACTGTCACCAAAGGACAATATTGCATGGTCTAAAAAAATTACAGTATGGCTATTGAAGTCCTTTTTAAATCCTGTATATTAGGTGCTTAAATATTTGAGTATATTAACGAATGAATGGAAGTATTATTTTAGAAGCGGGTTGAAGAATTGGGAAGAAGTATACAATATTTTTTGGTTTTGTTTTGCAAAACAAGATAGCTGATTATCATGGCCATTTCTTTTTTAATTTTTTTTTTTTAGCTGGAGCTGGGTTTGAACCCACCACCTATGGCATATGGGGCCGGTGCGCTGCCCATCATGGCCATTTTTCAACTTTTTCATCATTTGTTATTCTCATGTCTGCTTTTTATTTCTTTTTTTTCCTTTTTCTTTTTTTTTTTTTTTGAAACAGAGCCTCAA